ATTTGAAATTGTACATAGCGATTTTTTAAGAATTGTTAATGAAAAGTTCATTAACTTTTTTGTTCTTCCACTGTGGAGTGATGCCCGTAAACRTGAAGTAAAGTCAGATTTTCTGAAAGAGTGGAGCTCAAGGATTGTTCTTTGCAAAACTCCCAAAGACATTTGTGAATTTTATCACGAATTTTCATTTTTTGGATTYAAAAAAGAGCAACTTGGAACGAAAAGGGAACAACGGATAAGAAGGTCATTCCGCAAGAGACTAAGTTCAAGTGAACTAGAAAATTCCTTGTTTAAATATAATGGATTTCGAATTAACTGGAATCTTGATGGCACAGCCTGCTATATGAAGGACATTGACTACAAAACATTGATGAATTGTGGAATCATTTCTCTTCTTGAGAGAAARCGACCAGACCATTATAAAGTGGTTGGATGTTACATTAAGAACCAGGGAAATCAAATCAAGATATATTCATTGTTATCTGAAGGTACTGACTGATATTTATTACACTTTTATTAGATAAGTTAGAGTGATGGCATTATATTTATCCTTTAGATAAGTTGTGTGTAGTTSAATAGATAGATCGGGGAACTGCGACTGAYCACATTCAGAAACCCCACCACACATGGTGAGGACGATTTAATTTATTCAAGCACCTTTTTTTCACTGCTTGATAAGGCAAAAGCCTAACTTACAGTGTATGGACTCAAATTTTAGCGAACTTATTTCATGGGAGCTTCATGGGGGCTGGAAATTTGTTTGGGTTTATTGCCTCTTGATCAAGATGATGAGAAAAGTCCATGAAATACACCTTATTCCAAAATGGCTGACTAGCCCTTGATGTCTCGTTTTCATGAAATTGTTCTTTTCTTTTAAAGTCACTCAAGCTCAAAGACAAAAGAATAATTTTATGAAAACGAGACATCAAGGGCTAGTCAGCCATTTTGGAATAATGTGTATACATCCCTTTAACAACAACCACAACAACAATGACCTGACTGTGTTATAGCATATGGGTGCCCTCTTTAGTCATCTTTTTACTTAATATTATTTATTTGAATTTTGATTTCCTAAATGTTTTTATATTTAAATTAGATCCCTTTAGTGTGCATGTTGTTGAGGGAAGACGCTTAAATGAAATATTGGCAAACACTCCGTCACAACCAGCTAGCAATGGAAGTATTGAACCTCTTCCTGTGAATTCTACCAGATGTCATCCAGGCAGTAATACAGAACCAAATTCTCTTGAAGCAARTGTGAGACCTTCCCAACTGCCAATTAGTCCTGCAAGAGATGTCAGTAGGACACCATTGTCACCCCCATTGTCACCACCACCACCTCCACCACCACCAGAACAAACAGCCACACCACAAAGGGTGGTTACAGATTCTGGTCAGCCTGTGGATAGAACTGGACAACATGGTTCAGCACAAAGGGTGGTTACAGATTCTGGTCAGCCTGCAGGTAGAACTGGACAACATGGTTCTCCACAGAGCTTGGATGGAGATTCTGGTCAGCCTGTAGGTAGAACTGGACAAAATGGTTCTCTACAAATGGTGAATACAGATTCTGGACAGCCTGAAGGAAGAACTGGACAACATGGCTCTCCACAAAGGGTGAATACAGATTCTGGTCAGCCTGTAGGTAGAACTGGACAACATGGCTCTCCACAAAGGTCGAATACAGATTCAGGTCAGCCTGTAGGTAGAACTGGACAACATGGCTCTCCACAAAGGGTGAATACAGATTCTGATCAGCCTGTGGATAGAACTGGACAACATGTCTCTCCACAAAGGGTGTTTACAGATTC